AGCCTGTTATGTCTCCTGTATGTGTACAGCGCCCAGAGCCTGTGATGTCTCCTGTATGTGTACAGCGCCCAGAGCCTGTGATGTCTCCTGTATGTGTACAGCGCCCAGAGCCTGTGTCCTTTCATCATGGCAGAGAGCTGTAATAAGAGCAATGTCACGTAATAGGATGCAGCTTTTGTAGTTTATTGATTTATTCTTTAATTCGTTTTTTCCTTTGTTTTTGCTTTCTGTTCTTCAACCTGCGTATTGTTGAAAGTTTGTTTGTATTTATTCTTAGATGTGTTTCTGGGAGAACTATTGTATCTGCTCTTTAGCAATGATCTGTCGTCTGCTTTCGTCTCCTCTTTCTGCCCCCATCCCCTCACCTCCTTTGTCCCCTCCTCTGGACTCCTGACTCTTTCTGCAGTCTTTCTACAGCTACTCCTTGGCTCCTTCTCATTGCTGTCTTTCTGCCACACCCCTGATCTTCTGGTAGGAAAGATCTACACCTAGCCTTCTCGGACAAGAGCAAAAAAACTCGGAGGTCCCGTAAGCAAGTTGTGCACGTTCAAGATCCCTTGGAGGTCTAAAATCGATAAGAGTAGGCTTCGATAGCCACCCGCAGAAAATTCGAAATTTCCTACCCACTGAAAATGCTTAATGTGTCCCACGTGCTCAGAAGACCTTATGCAGTTGCGGGCGCCGTAAAACACTTACCCAAAAAAATCATTTTTCCTCTACTTCTTTTGTATGTTTGTCACTCTCTTGTGACCCGCTATTTCCGGGGTTGATAGTTGAAGCAGACTTTGTGCTGTTGAGACTAGAGAGGTGAGCAGAGTAAGTCTGATTCCCCGTTTGGACTTCTCTGTTGACATCCACCCGTTGGCGTTCATATGACCTTTTTGCAGTTGTGAGCGGCGTAAAACACTTACTAAAACAAACCAATGCCGGCGACGTCTGGAACAAGCACGAGCGCCAACGGAAGAAAGTTCACCTCGTCCTACTTCGGACACGATTACAGAAAACTTTTGGTCAAGATCGATGTTCAAATGGAGCCGAAATGTCGCCCGACTACTTCCGTCGATACCCTGTACAGTCCCAGAAACTGTCGGCCTACGTTCTGGTGGAGATCAATGGGGAAACGAAACTCCGTGGATTGGGGG